CCCCAAAACCCCAAAACCCCAAAACCCCAAACACGACCCATAAAATTGAAATAGGCTTAATCCCTTGACTAATATATAAATAAATTTAGATAAAAATTATCATAAATTAAAATGTCAGGACTTTTTGGAAAAAGCTCAGGAGGCGGAGGCCTCTTTGGAGGACAAAGCAAGCCAACCGGAGGCGGTCTTTTTGGAGGCCAAAGCAAACCAACCGGAGGAGGTCTCTTCGGAGGACAGAGTACTTCAGGAGGCGGAGGTGGCCTCTTTGGCGGATCAAGCACAAGTGGCGGCTCAGGATTTGGATCAAGTACCTCAACCGGAGGTGGAGGCCTTTTTGGAGGACAGAGTAAACCAACAGGTGAGTTATTAGCTTCTTCTTCACTTCGTGATTATTAAGCTTCTTTTGCTTCAAAAATCAGTTGAACACTCCTCTAAACTTCTAATTGGAGATATCCTAAAGTGGATTTTCGCTCTAAAATTTAGCATTTCTAATCATTTATTTAGGTGGAGGACTTTTTGGATCAAGCTCAACCTCAACCTCAGGAGGAGGAATGATGGGATCAAGCACTGGAACAGGAGGTGGAGGTCTCTTTGGATCAAAAACAACAACTTCAGGAGGTGGGGGTCTCTTTGGCTCTAAACCTCAAACTACAGGAACATCATCCTTCGGAGGAGGCTCATCTGGAGGTGGACTCTTTGGAAGAAGCGGAGGTGGAATGGGAACCCAAGGTAAATATTAAATCCATTTTCTTTTTAAATTTCTTTGTGGAGGAATCAAATCCTTCAAATTTTTATGTCCTCATAATTTTTACGGCAAAAGCTCTCCTCTAAGGACGATTGATTGTGGTTGAGTGACAATTCTGAGTATACATAAGTGAAAATTTGCTGACAAGCTTTGCTTTAGGTAAATCCACTTTCTTCGGCGGTGGATCATCATTTGGAGGAGCCTCGTCTAGTGGATTCGGCTCCTCTGGAGGTGGCGGAAGCGGATTTGGCTCTAGTGGATCTGCATTCGGTGGAGGATCTCAACAAGCAAATCTTGCAGAAGGAACTATTAATGTTCACTTTACTGAATATAAAGATAAGGATCATGGCTCTGATAACAAGAGCAGTATCAGTCTCCACTCTCTTACTGCCCAACCTGCATTCAATTCGTTATCCTTGGAGGAGTTACGAGCTGCCGATTATCTATTAAAGAAACAAGGAAAAGCTAATTTTCCTATAGGTGCTCAACCAGCCCAGAAAAGTGCTGGAACTCCTTCTTTTGGAGGTAGCAGTAGTGGCGGTGGAGGCCTCTTTGGTGGGGGAAGTAAATCTAGCAATCCATTTGGAGGTTCAACTACTCAGACCACAGGCGGAACTAGCACAGGTGGGTTATTTGGAGCATCAAAAACCTCTACAGGTAAATATTAATTCTATTCACCAGGTTTTCCTATTTTGTCAAGTTTCTGATAGTTTCTAATTTATATCAATACTAATTTTTGTATAGGGTTCGGTTCAAAACCATCTGGAGGAGGACTTTTTGGAAGCTCAACTACTAGCTCTACTACTACTAGCGGCTTTGGAGCATCAAAGCCATCAACTGGAGGAGGTCTATTCGGAAGTAGTTCATCTAGTGGATTTGGACAGAAGCCAGCAGGGACTGCTGGAGGAGGGTTGTTTGGATCAACAGCCTCAAAGCCAGCCGGAACTGGATTATTTGGAGGAGGAGGAGCCTCAACAACAGCCAAACCAGCATTATTTGGACAGTCTTCTGGAGGAGCTAAGACAGGGCTGTTTGGATCATCCACAGGTACATCTGGATTCGGAGCTAAAACAACTACAGGATTTGCAAGTAATACTGCAAAGCCAGGATTATTTGGTAGCTCATCAGGAACAACTGGTGGTGGTCTCTTTAACAAGCCATCAGGCTTTGGATCTTCAACAACTGGAACTACAGGATCTGCATTTGGAACATCCTTCGGATCTTCGGCTCCTCAACAGACAGCTCAACCTCCAGTCGACCAACAATATGCTGAGATCTTTGCTTCTCTTAATCAAGACCCATATGGGACAAAAGGACTTGAAGAAACTTTGAAATTACACTCTGTTGATGCTGACAAGCAAGCTATTCTTAGTAAAATTGTTGGACAAGTCATTAGCTACAAAGATCAACAAAAATCCAGCAAGACTACAATTAGCAGCTCAAGATTCGAAGAGAACGAGTTCTTTAATAGCTCTTCAGCAGATGCTCCAATTTCACTAAAATTTAGTAACAAGTCTAAGATTCATTTCACAGGATCTTTCAAGAGCCAAGAGAACCCTTACTTGTCAAGCAAGTCAAACTCCCAAAGCAAGAGGAAGGATTATGAAGCTACTTCAAGACAGATGGAGTATGAGAGAGCTAAAAATGAACACGACTATCTAAGAGAAGCTAGCAAATTTATCTCAAAAGCTACTAAGAAAGACAATGTCCAAACCAGAGTTCCAGAAGTAAGATCATTTGAGACTTCAAAAGAGCCTATCATCAGGAAGAACATTAATGAGACTCAACTTTCTGGACCAAACTCAGTCAATGTCAAGGTCAATGTATTCATTGAAGATAGAGAGACCCAGATTTTAGTCACTATTCATAAGTCCAGAACTATTAAAGAGCTGATCGAACTCTGTACTCAAAAGATTGGATTCACCAGTGAAGCTGATTTAATGAAGATCGTACATAAATCAAGGATCTTAAATGAAAGCAACACTGTTGAAGAGTCTGATATTCAGAATAATATGGCTCTTGACCTACTAATTCAGGAGAAACAGACTCCAGGAGGGCCAGGTCATACCCAGACAGCCACTGGGGAAGGAAAGACTAGAGATTACGTATCTTTTGGTAATGAAAAATTCACTGAAAAAGAGAAACTCCCAATTCAGAAAAACATCAGTTATACTTTGATCCCAGATCTAATCGAGATGGCAAGAATGACAGAGTATGAACTAATGAATATTAAAGATCTCACCATCGAGAATCAATATGGAAGGATTACTTGGGTTGGAAGAACAGATGCAAGAGAGATCAATTTCGACCAACTTGTTGAAATTGCACCATTTGCTGCAACTGTGTATCCTCCAGAAATTGAAGCTAAAAACTTGAAGCCCCCAGTTGGAAATGGACTAAACAAGCCAGCTATCATCTCTCTGTTTAATATTAAGCAGCCAAGAAATGATAAGAAAACTCCAGAAGCATTTGAGAACAACCTTAGAGAAAGAACAGCTACTATGGAAGATTGTGAATTCATCAAATATGAGAAAGATGAAGGAATTCTTACCTTTAGAGTTGAGCATTTCACAAGATACGACTTTGCACCCATCAACAACCAAAATAGCCAATTTGAGAGTGAAGAAGAAAGAGCTGAAGAAACTAAGGAGGTCATGGAGCCTTCCTCAATGGAGGTTGGCACCGGAAGATTCTCTTTTGGCCAAAACCAGCCAGTCAGAAGAACTTTCAGACATACTGAAGAACAAAAAGACATTGATGTTGATGTCGAAGAGGAGGAAGAAGACTCAAGAATGAGTGAAGAGGAATCTGAAAGGGAGAGACATAGAAGCTACAGAAATGCAGACAACTTCTTGCATGACATTAATGAAGAATCAGAGAGTCGCTCTTCAAAAATAGAAATTGAACCAAAGCAACAAACTTCATCTAAGAAAGAATCAAAGATTAACTTTGGATACATCTATGAGAAGAAGTTTGAGGAACATAAGCCTGAAGAAGACCTCGAATATGAACAAGGTATATTGACTGGCTCTTTGTTCTAACAGATAATTTTCTACTAATAATTTAAATAAATTTCTAGTTTACTTTGTCTTCACACTAATTTTAGAAGAAGAGGAGGAAGAATACCAGGAAGATGAGCAATGTTTCCTTTCAACTGATGATATCAGAAACAAGATTAAGCAAAGGAAATTAGAGATAACAAAATCAATGGAAAACTTTAGCAAGAAGAGAGTTGTTGAAAGAGAAAGAATCAACCCTGGGAACTTAGTCAAAACTTCTACCAATAGTGGAGCTCACAACAAGCTGCTGTACATGAAGAAGCTCAAAGCAGTTAATGCTGTACTTGGAGTTGCTCAAATGAAGTATTACTATGATGAAGAAGAGGACACAGAAAGAGGGAATAATCCAGAGAAGGATAGAAAGGCTAGGAATTGCCACTATGAAAACATCCTACAAAATCACATGAAGTTTAGTAAGATCTATGGAAAGTATCAAAAAGAATCACTAGAGAGCAGGTTTAATTCTCTTGATATCAGACCAGGAGGTAGACCAGCTGCAAAAGCTCAAGCCTATGGAGACTTACCTATCATTGATCCACCTACAGAGCCTTGAGAATTTACAGATATGTGGTATGAAATTTTGAGAAGCAGCAGAGAGCTTCTTGCTCCAAGTAATATCCTCTCAGAGTACTTGAAAATAGATATCGAGAAAGATTGAGAGACCTTCACTTTGCTAAACGCTCTCTTTGGAAATGCATTTATTGATCTGTCCAGATATATGGGAAATCCTGGATACCTTAATCGCACAAAGATGGATAAGTACAGATCTCTGAAGGTAAAAGAGGCCAATATTGAGAAAGCTAGGAACAACCTTATGAGTAATTGGCTAAAGTATGTAACTAATAAGGAAGTTGAGACTCGTCTAAACTCTGAAAACCTGACTTCTTCAGAACGAGCTGGACTCAGCCTGTACACTGGTGATAAGATCTCTGCTAGTGAGAATCTGATCAACACTTCTAAAGAAAGTGAAGGTGTTTACAATAATAGCTCACTAAACGAGGATAATAAAGGGTTGCAAGAAAACTATCACTGCAATAATACAGTATCTTGGAAATGTAATCTTGCTAAGTTCTTCTGGGAGCACTGAGATTGAGATATTACGAAAGCATACAACCACCTTCTTAATATGGCTGCTGCTAATGACCATGAGGAGGATGGCTCATCCAAAAATCTAGTCTTAGAAAAAGATGACCCACTAATGTGCGAAATCCTAGGAGTCTACTGCAATCTAGACAGAGTTGACTACTCTATCTTCAGAGAAAGAGGCATTGACATCCAAAATTCATGTGTCAGAAGAACTATGTGGAGCCTTATCACCTGCCTTAAGAAGCTTAATGCTTTCCTTATCAGAGAAGAGCAAATTGCAGGAATTGATGTTGATAGCAGAACTAGGTTCAGTGAGATTATAGAATCAATCTACCCAAGAATCACCTTTGAATATGCCCATGAGCTTGAAACCTTAGGACTGTGGAAATGGGCAATCTTTGTGATACTTCATCTTGATAATTCATCCCAGAAATCTAAATATATAAGAGATATTTTACTAAAATATGCGGGAGAAGAGCAAGACTTGACCTTTCTCAGAGACAACCTCAAAATTCCAGAATACTACATGCATGAAGCAAAGGCAACTTATTACCAGGCTAAGGGAGAATATGCTGAAGCCTTTAGTCACTGGCTTGAGTGAGAATCCTCTGTCAAAAATCCCTCAATGGCAAGATATGAAGTTGGTGAAAACAATAGGATTGATTTGAGAAGACTAAGCTCAAGTAATCTCTCTTTTTATAAGAAAGCTCACGATTTGTTGATGACTCAGGTTATCATCTCTTCTGAATCCTTACCTCAGAAGTTCTCTGATCTCCAGTTGATGATAGAAAAATTAGAGAAAAATAAAGAGTATATCTCTAACTGGGAAAATAACGGAAGAATTCTCTATGAATTCCTTAGACTTAGAGCTGATTCTATTGGATATCTCTCAACCTTCTTCGATAACTATGGTGAATACGCACCTGTTGAAGAGCAATGGAAAAATAGCAATACTCAAGAGGAAATCACTAAGCTCCAAGCAAGACTCTCTGCACTTGTAAAAAGCTTTGAAAACTTCTGCCAATTTGAAGTTTCTCAGAAAATGACCTCAATGAAGACAGAGCTTAAGAGAATCCTTCTTGACTGGGATACAAAGTTCAAGATCATCAATGCTAAACTCAACGACAATCATATTAACCTTTCGTTCCCTAACGATTTGCTACTTGACAGTCAAGACTTGAATATCTGTGATAAGAAGAATGCACTGGATAAATGTGTGAATGTTTCTCTCTCAGAATATCTGAGCGCAAAATAATCTACTCTTAAAGTTATTACTACTAAATATTCAAACCCTCTAGTTCAATATTTCAGTATATTTCTGGGGTTTTGGGGTTTTGGGGTTTTGGGGTTTTGGGG